CCCAATCTTAACATTTGTGCCACTAAAGACGGGTATGTAGGCAAAACTTTAGAAGGGGAGGCAGGTAAATGAACCCAAAATAATGGTCCTTTGCCACAAGAGACCGGTAGGGGAGAAGGTTGTAGGGAAAATAAGTAGCCATAAGGGGGAAGCAGGAGAGTAATATTTAATATTCTGATCTTGAATTGCCCTTTCAACAATTCGCAAAGAAAGCTTAGCCTCCTCTTGGAGAGGAGGGGTCGGGTGGTCACCAGAAAGGCCATTTGGACAGGCGCATAGAGGCAGAGGAAGTTTTAGAGGGGGGAGTGCAGGGGGGAGACAAGAAGGGGCACAGGCAGTCTGGAGGTCAGTCCAGCGGGTGGACAGACGAGAGATCTGTTCCTGGAGGCGAATAATGTCTGTGAGGTCTAGGACTTGAGAGGAGAGGCGGAGTTTAGTCTCGGAGAGAGAAGACGAAACTTGAGAGGGTGCAGGCAAAGGAGGAGGAGCCGAGGACAGAGACACCGGAGAAACATACAGAGGAGGGGCTGTAGCCAGGGGGAGGCTTCTAAAAGTGAAAGTGAAGCAGAGGCTTGAGAGGGAGGTCGAGAAGCGGCGCGAGAGGTGGAACAAGAGGCAGAGTGGAGGCAGAATTCAGCAACAGATAAGAGTCTGCGCTTTTTAGGATCATCGTTTGCATTTTTGACGATATCTCTAATTAATCCCCGGTAGGAGAAAACAGTAGGGGAAACGGAAGATTTTCCTTCAGTTTCCATTCTTTGATTTAATTCTCTTCCAACCTTTTGCCATTTTTTAGGATGAATGGTTGGCCCGTCTATCATAAACCAAGGACAGGCTTCATCAGTAAAACAAAAGAAATTTATGAGTTCCTTTTTCTTAACCCTTACTCCTCTCTCTCTGAGGAAAGCCTTGAGATCCCGAATGAAACATGCTTCCTTTGACAATGAATAGCCCATCTTGATAGGACGGAATGATGAGGGAGAACAACACTCACTTACCAGGCCTTACTGTTTCGCGGGTCTAGAAGCAGCGGCCTTCAGGGAGAATAACCGGTCACTGTTTTCGGGAGTCTCCGTCCGGAAGGGATTCGTTCTTCTAGCCCCACGTTGGGCTCCACCTGCTCAGGCCAGCGGAGCTAAGGTTATTCGAGGGTTAAAAGAGAATCCAAACCTGTGAAAAGATAAGCTGAGAGAAAAGAATGAGCCCAAGCAAACAGATGCTTGTCAAGGACTAACTTTACTGAGCACAATCAGCTTTAAATAGGGTTCAGGATGAGGAAGTAGGGTGGGTGAAACGTTACAGATTCTTCTCGGCCAAGGGCCTGAAACATCTTGTGATAAGCCATGGTTCTGTGAGCACATCTCTGCTGTTGCCAAGCAGTATGTTTACCGCAGGTAAGGAAACGGGCATCTCCAAGCAGTATGTTTACTGCAGGTAAGAAAACAGGCAAATTGAGGCAAGTTGGTAAGCTTCCACAGGTGGTCTTTAAAGTTGGTGAGTTCCCTCAGGTGGTCCCTGACAATTAATTATTTTTGAAAGAGAAAAATAAGGAAAAAGTAAAAGTAAAAGCCTCTCCTATAAACTCTGTTTTGAAACAGAATATACAGTACAGCCAAGGTTGCAGTTCAGCAGTACAATGGTTGCCTGGCCATTCTGACATTCTGGGTTGATTCCTCAGCACTGCAGGAGAAGGGGGTAACAGTTCCAAAATGCCCCAATCGGTCAGATTTTAAAATCTCATTCAAAAGTCCCAAGAATAGAATAGATCAAACAGGAGATGGGACATCAGAGCTTTGGAGACAAGTTCTTTGGAATATTACATTCAGACAGTAATACATTAAAAAAAAATCAATCAAATATGGAGGGCAGTGACAGGATCCCTGGAATACTAAAAAGATCAAATGTCAGCCCATGGCACACCTGAAGAAGAGCTGCTTGCTGAAGATGAAAAACCCACTCATTGAAAGGGTGACTGAGGCGTGAAGTTGCAGGTCTGTGGTAGAGTGATTCTTTAGAATGAGCAAAACTGTGGGGACTGAAGGAAAAAAAAACTGGCATGCTGAAATCACAGCAGACAATTGTAAAATCTTGGTAACTACTTGCTATGTAAGTCACAGTTCTCTGAGCAAACAGAACCAAGAGAACAAGTACACTCCTAGAGAGAGAGAGAGAGAGAGAGAGAGAGAGATTGAGACAGAGAGAGAGAGCGAGCACGCGCATGCCAGGGTGGATGGAATTCACCAAATCTTACTCAGTTTGGGAGCTAGGTAAGTCCAAAATTGGTTTTCTGCATTCTGGAGAGTGGGATGATTCAGTGTAGGCTAAACACACAAGCTGGAAGCCTCAGGTCAAGGAGGACAAATGATACAGCTCCACTTGGAGAGTCCCTAGAATTTAGCTGCTGTGCATCTTCACTGGAAGGCTGAAGGCTCTGGAGTCTGGTGGCCATGGATGATGGTGACAGTGCTCCATGCACTGTCTCAGGAAGTATGGAACTACCCTGCCTTGACAGGCTTTCTCTTCTTTTTCTTTAATTCTGCCTGGAATCCCAGTCTGTTACATGGAGAATCCACATCCAGGAAGAAACAATCCCCTGTTACTCCCCCCTAAATTAATCTTCTCTGAAAATGCTGGAACAGGAACACCAGCTGTGAGCTTCCGTAATCTCAGTTTAGGCACCTGTCACCCAACCAAGTAGACAATCTGGACTAACCAAAGCCTTCCAGTTTGAGGAGACATTTACAAGCTCAAGTAAGTATCCTGGGTGGCCATTAACACATGGTAGCATGAAGAAAACACTATATTATACACTGCATGGAACTGATAACACAAACATTTATATGTCATATGCAAATGAGAGACAGAAAAAGGAAACTGTGCTTCACAGGCAAATGAATTCAACAGGACATTACATAATAATAAGAGAAAGACTCCAAGTGACTTGTTCACTCTTATTCATTTCATGAATAAACCTAAGATGAACAAACAACAACAAAATCTCCATGGGCCTGAAAGTAGGACCAGACTGTAAGGAGGTCTATGAGATGTAGCATTTAAGAGCATAGGAGAATCCCAGAACTCAGAGAGGCAGAGGCAGAGGCAGGTGAATCATTGTGACTTGGTCTACGAAGCTAGTCTAGGACAGACAAGGCAAAAAAAAAAAAAAGTATGAGAGAAGGTAGAAGTGTGGTGAGGCTGCTCATCATCTATGCACATATGAGTGTGGGAGGAAATAGTACCATAAATGCCATTCGTTTGTAACTTTAATGTGCCACTAGTGATTATAAAATTAAAGATGGGCAAGGAAGATGGTTCAGTGGATAAATTTTTCACCATGCAAATGTGAGGAACTTAGTTCAGATCACCAGCACTCATGGAATTCCAGGCTGAGGAATACCCTTTGTGTGTGTGTCCTTTTATTTATTCATTTTAAATCCTGATCATAGCCACCTCCCTCTTCTCCTCCCTGTCTCTCCATCCCTCCCTGTATCCAATAACCACCTCCCTTACTCTTCAGAAAGGGGGAGCCCCACTACCACCCTAGCATATCAAGCAGCATCAGGATTGAGAGTATCCTCTTCCACTGAGGGCAGGAAAAACAGTCTCACTAGGGGGTCCTGATCAGAAAGCAAGCAACAGGATCCCTGTCAGAAATAGCCCCTGCTTCCCTTACTAGGAGATCCATGTGAAGACTAAGATCCCTATCAGTTACATTATAGAGGCCTAGGGAGTGACTCTAGCTAACACTCCAAGTATCATGGGTCATGGAGATTGAAGAGGCCACCTCACAGCCAGACATTACTTCTAGTGGAGGGAGGGAAACACCAGCCTATGCACAAAAACTTTAACCCAAAATTTCCCCTGCCTACAAGATAGATAAGAGACTGAGGGAATATCCAGCCAATGCCTGGTTCAATCTGAGAGCCACTCTATGGGAGAGAGCCAACCCCTGTCACTATTAATGATACTCTGCTATGCTGATGGGAGCCTAGCAGAGCCTAGCAGAGACATAAATACTCTTAAACCCCAGAGGCAACATGTGTGGGATGAAGGACAGACAGGTGAATACACACACAAATCTCCCTGGCCACGCAAACTGACCAAATCTGTGAGTTCCATGTTGACTGAGAGGCTGTGTCTTTTTTAAAATTTTTTATTAATTATAGTTTATTCACTTTATATCCCCCCGTACTTTCCGCCCTCCTCCCCTCCCAATCCCAACCTCCTTCTTCCCCACCTGTGTCCCTCTCCCAGGCCACTGAAAAGGGAGGTCTTCCTCCCCTTCCCTCTGACCCTAGTTTATCAGGTCTCATCAGGAGTGGCTGCATTGTCTTCTTCTGTGGCCTGGTAAGACTGCTCCCCCCTCAGGGGGAGGTGATCAAAGAGCAGGCCAATCAGTTCAGGTCACAGACAGTCCCTGTCCCCATTACAGTGTAGGCCACTTGGATACTGAACTGCCATAGGCTACCTCTGTGCAGGGGTTCCAGGCCAACTCCATGAGTGGTCCTTGGCTGGAGTATCAGTTTCAGAAAAGAACCATATTCCCAGGCTTTTAGGATCTGTCGCTGTCATTGTGGAGCTCCTGTCCTTTCTGGGTGTTACTATCTCCTACTTCTTCCATAAGGAAATCATGAAATTTGCAGGTAAATGGTGGGAACTGGAAAAGATCATCCTGAGTGAGGTATCCCAGAAGCAGAAAGACACACAGGGTATATACTCATAAGTGGATACTAGATATATGATATAGGATAAACATATTAAAATCTGTACACCTAAGGAAGCTAATCAGGAAGGAGGACTCTGGCTAAGATGCTCAGTCCCCATTCAGAAAGGCATAGAGGATGGGCATAGGAGGAGGGAGAAAACAGGGAACAGGACAGGAGCCTACCACAGAGGGCCTCTGAAAGGCTCTACCCGGCAGGGTATCAAGGCAGATGTTGATACTCATAGCCAAACTTTAGGCAGAGTACAGAGGCTGTGTCTTAAAAGATAAGGTAAATATGCAGTCAATTAAGTTGACCAGGTAGGTCCCATTCCTCATCGGGGCCTAGTGTGCAATGGTTGCAAACAGCAGGCTCCTAAGAGTGAATTCACCCTGTTGCCTTATATGGGTTGCGATAAGGGACCTTGGAGACAATTTTCTGGCAGTTATTCAAATCTCTGATTTCAATGCTGTCTCTTATCGAGGATCCACACAGGTAGGCATGGTGCCTTAGCAAAGCCCCAGGTCACACTGGCCAGGGTTCACACTGGTCCAGTCATCATGATCCATCTGAATCATGCTTCGGAATAAGGAACACATAGGACCTAGGTAAAGCCAAGTTTGCGCCCCCTGGCAGCCAGAAGTTAAATCATGTAATAAAGCCCCTTCCCTCCACTTTCTTGCCCTCGTCTTCCTCACTGAGTTCTTCCCCACTCCCTCTAGATTCATACCTCAAAGATTTGGTGCTTCCCTATGTTGAAGGCAGATCAATATGAAGGCAATGGTCAATTAGAAGTGGCTCCTCCCTGATGGCTATAGTGTAGAACTTATCACCAATCTTGGTTCCCTGGACAATTGGTGAGCCCTGTATCCTTAGGGATTCTTCAGTGATGCTCTCCTATACACTACCAAGTTATGTTCAGTAATAAATCTAACATGCTGTCTGAAATTAAAAAAAAAAAAGATAGGGTAACAGAAGACACCCAGTGTCAACATTTGCCTTACACACAAACACACTAAAATGTAATGTTTTGCTTAATCCTTCAGGCTGATCTTCAAAGAACAATTAGAAAAGAAATCACCAGGGAAATTTGGAACAAACAATGGTGGCAAGGCCACATGAAATGGGAAGCAGAGGGAAACATGACCATTACTACTTTCTTCCCTCCTGGAAGGGTTTTCATTTTCAATGATAGATTTATTTCTGCAATCTACACAAAGAACACACTTAGCTCACAAATTCCAGGTAAAAGATGAAACAGTCTCAAGTGTGTTGAACAGGGCTGGACAGATGGCTCAGTGGTTGAAAGCACATGCTGTTTTTCCAGAAGACCCAAGTTCAGCTAGCATCAGCCATCGTGGGTAGCTCACAACCACCTGTAACTCAACCCCCAGGGGAACTGAGCCATTCTTCTGGCCTTTCTGGGTACCGACACACTTGGAATATACTCACAAAGACACAGCAAGAACACACCCATAAAACAAACCTCAAATGTATTGAAAACAGTTTCTAAGAATGCCTTTAAAAAATATAGCACAGCACAAGAGTAAGAGATTGAATCAAGAGTTAGACAAACACACACATACATGTAGAAGTACTTGATATCAAACTCTCTATAAAGAGAACACTAGAAAGTGCTCCTATAAACACCCATCCAGAATACTGAAACCATAACTGCTAATGCAGTTATGTGTCTATAAAATGTTTTCAACCAAAGGTAAGCTCTTTCAACCAGGGTCGAATACAGCATCAAGGTGAGTCTGGATTGGCGCCCAAATGTCGGGATTAGAATTATGGAAAATCTGGGTTCTGATGACATAGAGGAGAGAGAAGGAGAAATGAATATATTGTTTCAGGATCTGAGCAAAAGGTTTACTGAGGCTGCTACCACTGGTTTCTCTCCCACTTTATTCCCAGGGGTATTCTCTGGTTTTGCTTCATTGCCTTCCTTACGTTCCATTTTAAAGAAGGTTGTGAGAATGGTTGAATAATTGGAAAAGTTGTGGGTGGATATACAGGGGTTTGAGAAACAAAAAAAATGGATGAAATAAAAAATCAGAAGGTTCATTCATTTTAGAAAGGACTCTGGAGTTGGCAGTGCAACTAGAGAATTTGCAGGTAGAGGCTGAAATGCTTGGAAAGCAAAAAGTGCCATTGGGAAAGGAAGAACACCTGGTAACTAAGAGGCAGAGTTTCCCCGAAATTGCTGCCCTGCCCTACTCCACCCACTTTCCATGCCAAGTCCTCACAGACCCTGGGCAGGCTGGGGAGAGGGAGGAGCAGAAGGCCTTACAGGGTTAAAGGGTTAAAGAGAAACAGCCTATTTCAAGAAAGAAAAAAAAAGTTAACTTGTAGCAAACTGAGTTGCCACAGGAGCAGCCTCAAGTTAAGAGGTTCCCAGTACTCACCAAAAGCCTGCAATATCAAAATGCACTGTACTTCAATTGCAGTAAATTTGGACACTTGAAAAAAAATTGTGACCAAGCTGCTAAAATCCTCAGAGCTCAAAATGACTGCTGCATTAAATCTGAGAAATAATGGTATGCTCCACCAGAGAAGCAAACCAGCCATTTCAGGTAGCACTAGCTTCTAGGCAAGAATGTTTAAGTACACAGTATACTGGAGTTTGTAGCACTGTGAAAAAAGGGTCATTTGACTATTGAATGCATGTCCAAGAAAGACATGGGAGGTAACTTTTTGCCATTAGGAAACAGCTTTGGAAATTGTAGCTTGAGGTTCAAGAGCAAAACTCAGGAGTCATTCCAGCCAATAGTTATCAGGTTATAAAAGAAATTGTTGATCCAAAAAGGGTTTGGTTCCTTGATGATTTCCTTTTAAGAAAGCAACAGCAAGTCTCATTCATATTAAAAGAAAAGCCATTTTTTAAAACAGAAGGGAGGAAATGTTGTGGATGTAACCATGTTTCTGTTTTGATCTCAGGTGTAGGCTATGGGGACTGATTATACTGTCCACAGCAACAGGCTATTTGCCAGCTGGAATTAGTTGAATTCTGAGGAATTTGAGGATTATAATATAATAGCCCAGAGGAAGAAAGGACAGTGGCTTGGAGGAGAGGGAGGAGGACTACTTCTTGTTCTTGCTGGCTTGTTGGTTACCTGAACTTCCAGATTTCCAGCTTACAGATGTTGGAATTGCTCCCAAAAGAATCCTACAACCATACTCAGCAAGAAGTAAATAAGGCTACGTCCCCTTTCCCTTATAACCTCCTTTGTCCACTAACTGTGAATAGGGGGTTGGAAGGGTGGTATAAGCGTTAAGGAATGCACAAATAAAGTAGGGTTTGCAAACCTGAGGCCTACACTGGATATCTCTGGGAAATGCCACAGCCCCACTACAGGATCAGGTTAGTTTTAAGTGTTGGGTGGTAGCACAGCGTTTTAAGGGAGGGACAATGAGCATGTGATTAGTGGGTAGGGTCACGATGGAAGCACCTTAGAAGCCTGGAGTTGTGAAGGGATTGGTTCTCCATAGCACCACTCAGTTGCACTGCTACCTTTGCATCTTATTTCCTACAAGACTCCTTGAGTGGCTGAAGATGTCAAGGAGAGCAAAGTGCTCCTATCAAGGGCTGTGCAGGAGACCCCCCTGACACACACATACAAACACATCATCAGTGAGAGACAGATTGGGCTACGACCATGAGGGGTGTCTAGGATACGAAGCCAGGTGCAAAAGAGAACGGACGTTCTGCATTCACATCAGAGGTGTCTAGGCCCAGAGCCCTGCAGGGCAGCAGGTAGAAGCTAGCCTGTGAGGAGTCACTCCAAGCCCACCATGCTCAGGACCAGGCAGAGCAGCTGTGAGGGTCTTCATCTCATCGCTTCCATACCTCCAGAGCGGAGCTGACCTTCTCTGTGACCATGGTGGAGCACCATGTTCGGGAGGGCGGCTATGGTCAGTGGCTGATTGAAATGCTGTACATCTTCTTGACTGCCACCCTGAAGTTCCTGGTTGGCAGGCTGCTGGAACTGGCAAGCAATGAGGCCCAATGCCAAGGCACCCAGAGGCTCATCACCCCGGAGCTGCTGGTCGAGACTGGATACAACAATACACTAGGAGAACTGTTCCAGTTCATCACCATCTCCCAGGTGGCCCCACCTCATAATAGTTGTGATAGTTGTCATCCTCGTTACCTACTAGATGCTGCTGCTGCCGCCTGGCTTTGGGTAGCTGACTGTCTTGTCTGCCTGCCCTGTCTACCCAAGGCACATCATCAGTTCATCCTGGTCAACCTCTCCCATAGTCAGCCCTGCATAGGTGGCCAGCCTCATCCCCTGTTTTCTCCCAACACCATCCCCAGTTGTGCTCTTATTAAAGCTTTAGTTCGAGAAACCCATAGGCTTGCTTCCCTGGCTCCTCATCCCCCTTTGGTCAAGGGAAGGCGTTGGGGGTGGGTTTGAGGTTGGCAGTAGAGGAGGAGTATGAGGTGGGCCTAGTTGAAGTAACACAGGGTGGGAGTGGTGCTGGGTGATCACAGGCTGGTTTCCCTAGCTTTTCCTTTGGGCATGAGGTGGGAGTAGAGGATGAGGGTGAGGTGGGCCTAGCTGGAGGAACTGGAGTGAGGAGGGGTGGTGGGGTAGGGGTGAACTACAGCCTGGTTTCCCTAGCTTTTCCTTTGGGAATGTTGTGGGAGTGGGGACAGAAGAAGAGGTTGGCCTAGTTGTGGGAACACAGTGGTGTAAGTGTGCAGGTGTGGAAGGTAGGCAGGGATGGCAGAGGAATACTGAATGCCTTCTCTGGAGAATTTGAGGAGGGTGCACATGATACACCTCTTGTCGATGAACCAGTCTGGGCCAGCCTGCCCAGCTGCATCAGAGAGATGGCCTTTGAATAGGAGACCACAGAGCAGTGGGGACCCATATGCAAAAGCGGCCTTCGGTTGAGGATGCAGACCTGAACAGAGCAGTGGCATGTGAGGACTAGGGTCCCTGAGGATAACACCTCATGATTATTCATTGGATGGTCAGCAACACGTGTCAGGAGGCTCCCCTGGCAAAGCAGGTGAACAAGAGGCAACCTAGCCTACCAGCACCTGAAATATCCCGCTACCTATGGCCTTGCCTGCCCTGACTTTGAGCTTTTTATGAGGCTATATCCCTGAGGCTTAAACTACACCTCACATGCTGCTTTTTGTTTTTGTGCACTGCTCTGACACCTGGCCCTCGGTTTATGTCTATCTAGGCTCAACACTCAGCATAGATGGTTCGAATCTGGTTTCACCTCACAGGCTCTCATTAGCATTGAGAGCTGATGGCCAGACAGAACCTGCAACATCCTGCTAGTACCTGGAGCTGAAGATCTCTCTGTGTGCTCTGGGTAAGAAGGTCATACCTACTGCTTACTTCTTAGTTCAAACAGCTGCAGCTGCATGTGCCTTTGCTGTGCATGGCCACCCCTCCCAACTTCAGCTTGAGGCCACAGCTATGTCCTGTCCCATCAGTCTCAGCACTGACACCACCTCTTCCAACTTCCCAGTTCCTAATGATCTCACCATACTACCATGCCCTTCCCTGCCAAGAAGGGGAGATTAATGCTTTCATAGGACCATCCAAGTAGGGGAGATATAGAAAATAAAAAACAGACAGCATAGGTTGACATCTAATGAAAGTTAAAAAAAGACATACATAGTTGAAGGCTCTTATAGCTTATAAAAATAAAGAAGAGAAGGGTGGTTCAAAGGAGAACATGAAAATGGGGAGCATGAAAATCACTCCTCTGAGGGAGGTTTTCCTTTTAACAGTATGTTATAAAAATATGAAAATGGAATTATTACAAGTAAATTATGAGACAACTTCAAACTGATTCAACAAAATATTTTAAAGGCTTTGTAAAAAGGCACTCTAAAAGAAACAATAAATCTTTTTGTTTGTTTTTGTTTTTCGAGACAGGGTTTCTCTGTGTAGCCTTGGCTATCCTGGAATCACTTTATAGACCAGGCTGGCCTCGAACTCACAGAGATCTGCCTGCCTCTGCCTCCCAGAGTGCTGGGATTACAGCATACACCCCTGTACCTGGCTGAAACAATAAATCTTAATTCAGAGTTTAATGCACATGTGTACATTTCCACATCCAAGCTGAGTAATAAATATGAATAAAACATAGTATAAAAATTGCTCCATTTGGGCTGGAGAGATGGCTCAGAGGTTAGGAACACTGGCTGTTCTTTCAAAGCTCCTGAGTTCAATTCCCAGGAACCACATGGTGGCTCACAACCATCTATAATGAGATCTGGTGCCCTCTCCTGCCATGCAGGCACACATGCAGGCAGAATACTGTATAAATAATGAACAAATCTTTAAAAAAATAAATTGCTTCTGTAAACACCCACCCAAAATACTGACACCATAAATGCTTATGCAGACATGCATCTATAGAACGTTTACAACCAAAGGTAAGGGCGGGTGTCTTTCAACCATTGTCGAGCACAGCAGTGATATGAGTCGGGATGTCTCTGGGAAATGCCACAGCCCCACCTACAAGCTCAAACCCAACATGTTAGGACCTGACTCTGCTGTGGAAATCATGTTCACGGTTTAACACATCTGAGCACACACACAGGAGTTGTGTTCAGCAAGTCTGAGTAAACATGCTGGGTTGGTTTTCCTGTAAAGGCCTGTTTGCACTGGAACTGGCTCTGTGACCTAAGGAGTACATGAAAGCATGTACAGAAATACCGGCCCCATCTTTATTTACTTCTTTCTGGACTAAGTAAGGTAACATTCACTTTTGGGAAGTGACAGAGAACCAAAGCAACCAACCATAAAAATCAAATGACATCTGCTTCCAAATGTAACTGCCATGGCTGGGGAGAATGTGTCTCCCTTGTTGCCATGGAGGTTCTGCACTTAACTGTTGCTACTCACAGAACTGCTGGGGGTTCACTTAATGGTTGACAGAATCTATCTTATTCGTAAAAAATAAAGAGAAGGGAGCTGCACTGGCTACTGCTAACATCCTCTTAGCAAGGCTAATGCTCCCTGCGCATCCTACAGTGAGCTTCAGATGGTTTCTTCAGAGCTGTCAAGGATCAGGGACTGAAGGTATGTTTCAACAACGGACAAATCTTGTTCTTGCTGTTTGAAAACGGAGATTTAGAGAATCATTATTGCATCTCTGCCAACAGGAATCCAGCCTGGGACACACAGTGTTACAGACACACGACTTACGGTTTTCATGATAACTCTGTCCTTAGCCTTGGAGATTTCCCTTTCCACTTCACTTTGGTGACTGCCAATAAAAGTTTTGCGATGATCACACAAGTCCTTGGCTTTCTGAAACAAAAACCTCTACCTGAGCCAGAAGAAGCTCCAACTTGACTCCTCACCTCACTTAATTTTAAAAGCACCGGCTTTGCATATCTAAATGATGCTTGTAATGAATTAAAAAATAATAACAGTGGTGACTTGATGTGCACCTATATGGCCACTCCACAAGGAAGTTCAGGTGCCGTAACTGAAGGTAGAATTGTTGTGTGATCAGAACAGCTAAGGCACTTATCTCAGAAAATGGGTGGATGAGCAGTTAAAGGCCATAAGGAGCAGACATGGAAACACAGGCGCAGACTCCCACAAGAGCTTTCCTGGGGGAAGGGGCCATTCATTCACTGTGTCCACTAGAATGTTATTTTCACAGAGAAGACACAGTACGCAATTGCATGACTTTTCAAGCTAAGAAAAGCTGGAGTGAGGACTCAATCTCCTCTGATCTCTCAAAGAACACTGCAGTGGTGGATCCAGAGGAGAAAGAAGTGGGTCACTTCTGTCCAGAAATTGCAAAATGCATGCTTGTCCGGACTCTTACCTATTCCTAAGGCCCAGAGGAGCTTAGGGACAGGTGGCATGCATGCTGGCTGAAAAGAGGTATGGAAGGGGACCTTGCTGGGCCCTTGGCTGAAGAGGACAGAAATGGTGACTTGCAGTGGTGAAAACACAAGATTTCCTTAGTGAAGTCCAGGCACAGGGAGCTCTCTGGCGAAGAGCAGAAGCAAAGCAGCATGGACAGGGGACAGGAGCCACTTCAGGGGAAGCTGGTGCACTGGGAGGAGGGAAGACACACAGAAGCAGCCAGTGAATTTCTGGGGGCGGGGCAGGGTGTTTGCAGAGGACACAGAGGAAGCAGGGAGAATTAAGAAGGAAAGCCACTGGAAAATACTGAAGAGTTTGAAGAGGCCCTGTTTCAGGACAACAACCCCTCAAAGCTTAGGACTAACAAAGGAGAAAGGTTGAGTGAAGGAGCAGAGGGAGATCAAGAGAGTGAGAGAGGCAGAAGAGCACAGGACAGAAAGGCCGGGACCACCTGGGAGGCCAGAGATGCCCAGTCAAAAGGATCTCTCTGTGGTGCTGCTCACACAGTGCACTCACAGGTAGAAGCAAGCCTTTCTGGTGGGCTCCCAAGCAGTACTCAGCTGCACTGGGGCTACACTTTCTTAGACTCTTCCTAAAGGACTGAATGTGTGTGTAGGGGGCTCTCAAGGTCTGTGTGTGCCGGTGTGTGCTTAAAGGTGTTTGTGTATGTGTGCCCATGTGTAGAGGCCGGAGATCATAAAAATCTGAAAGTAATTTCCTCCATGTGTACATGTTTGCATATATGTTCAATCTTAGGTGTGAGCGTGCCTTCCAGGACTGCTCACCATATTACTTTTTGAGGCAGGGTCTTCATTATGCCCGGGGCTTGCCAATTTAACTCCACTGGTATTCCTACAACCACGAGGGATCCCTGTGTCTCTACCCTCAGGGCTCTGGGATTATAAGCACATGTTGCCATGTCTGGGTTACACATGCATTCTAGGGATATTCACTAGGTTATTAAGTGGGGTATACTCATGCTTGCTCAGCCAAACAAACCTAGCTTCTCACTAGTATCCTGAAAAAAAAAAGTTTGCTGGGACACACAGAACACTTTTGTCAAGGTGTCTAAATCAGATTTGAAGAGAGACATTCCATAGTATATTTTAACAAGAACATCAAAAAGAATTGCCATTGAAGGGTTGCTTGGACTCCTGGATATATAGATGGGCGCCGAGGTAACTTAGGATATGGAGCTACAGCCAGGGTGCAATTGCCAGCAGGCAGCTCTCGATCCATGCAAAGATGGTTAATCCTCTACCAGCTTTTTGATTCCCCACATCTCCTCAGTAGCTGTTGAAATACATGACCAACAATACCAAGAATAATGCTAACACCAGAAGACTCACAAGAAAGAAAATAAAAGCTACCCTCTCCTACTACTTATTTCATCCACCGTTCCAAATGAAAGGAACCAAAGAAAACCAGAACATGATCCCCAGATGTCTTTATTCACTTGAATATCAAAGTTTCACCAGAGGTCAATAATTCATCACTATGATGATGATTTGCTTTCTAAGCAAATTTCCAGCCGGCAGCTCTATGCTAGAACACTCTCTCCAAAAGATCATCAGTTTCCCAGCATAAACAAACCCTAGCATCCTGTGCTAGGAAAATATTCCCAAGAGAATGTGATCACTAATTTCAAAGTTAATTACTTTTCCCCAAAATTGAGAAAAGGGTAATCTGTCTTCTGCTCTTACGGACACATGGTGTGAAATAAGGGTGTGTTTTGTTAATAAGTGCAATCTACCTGACCTTCCAAAATGTATCACACATATCTTTAGCATTCTCAAGCTTGACTTCATGATCTGCTATAACTTCCTCTAAAATTTTCATTTGCTGCTGAATTATAAGCTGAAATAGAGGAAATCAATGGCAAAGTGTCAGTAAAAACTGAACATCTAACCCAGTTGCTTACAGGTATCGTTTCCCGTGATGTTTCATGTTCTGCCAGTCATGATCAAATCTGAAGACAACGTGACCTTCAATACCAAAAGCAACATAACACTATCTAACTGATCACAGAGTAAGATAATCTGTCAAACCCGTGCAACACTCCCATGAAATAGTTACTCATTCAAAATTAACATGGGATCCAACTAATCCATGAATTCCCACCTCGCCAAAATTAAGTATAAAATATTCCTTTGTGGCCCAGTTCTCACTAAGTGTTTTTTTTTTTTTTTTTTTTGTCAAATTCAACAAGCACGTAGATTAGCTTCCAAGGAAACCCTTCTTTCCAAAAAAGTCCTGACCTAAGCCTTCCTCATCAATCAGTCATTCGCACACTGTGACACTCCATCAACTACATTATCAACCAAACAAGAATGACAGGGAAGACCGCAACCATATACCGGCTCCTGCTGTCCAGTATTCCATAGCAACATGTAACAAAGTGAAAAATCCAACACACAAGTCTAGAAGGTAGGGGATTCTCCACCGGTCTGCTTTCCCTCCTGGGAAACGGAGGCACAAAGGTAAACTCTTTTCCTGAGTTAGCAAAACTGGCAAGTAACTGGACCGTGACCGATTGGCATGCCAGAAGCCATGCTTTGAACCACTAGACTGGACAAGGCCTCCATTTCCCCCAGTACTCCAGCCTCTGCTTTGCCACCTTTGGAAGTCAGAATCTCCAGGAGGGCAGCTCCACCCTCTACCAAGAAGAGTGAGGCCCCAAAGACAACACTGTTCAGAGTCTAGTAGTACCTGTTTCCCAAACCTCTTTCTCCTCTCCACGTTAAGGTCCAGTCAGTCATCTTCACTCATCCACCGTGGTGTGAAGCCTTTCCCTCTTCTCCTCTGGGCCTGGGCTGGTCTGAACTCCAACCACTGAAAGATAAGTTTCCACCTGCTCTGCCACAGCCACACTGTCCTCTCCCATGCTGCATCCCTGATCACTGTGTCAGAAGGCTAGGTTGGGCCTCCTGCTCCTTGGTGTCCTCACATCATGGATCATGAAGGGCTCCCTCTCATGATGCAATCCCATACCTTCTCCTGCACTTTCCAGGCAGTGCCTGCTCAGCCTCCGACTCCACCCCCATGCTGGCTCCTAACCCATCACTGACCTTGTCACCTCTCCACAGAAAAAGAAGCAAGCCAGGGAGACAGACAGTATGGCCAGTCTCTCCTCAACACATCCACCACCCTCCTTGTCTCCCTAAGCTCACATCCTGTCCCATCCCTCCCCATATGCTGCACTGAAGTCCTGCCACTTTGGAAACTGGAGCAGAGCATCCATTCCAAGGGAAAGCAACACTCACAGCGAGTTTTTCTTCTTGCTCCCTTGCTTTCTCCACCAACTCCTGCCACTGCTGGTACAGGGGCCAAAACATCTGAGAGTAGACTGAGTGACGGGCCTTCCTGTAAACACAGTACCAATTACTGAGCATGCTCATCGAGGGTGAGGATAAGGCAACAAAACACCCTCATCTTTTTGAAACAAGAGCTAGGAGCAAGACGGGGGTGGAAGGAAGATGCATTAAACTGACTCATGAGAAGCAGACATGTGACTCTCACTCCAGAAGGATTTTGTCTTAAGCTGCTACAGAAGACAACACTCCTTCTGTCTCCTCTCTTGAACACAGAGGATGCTCTGATGCATAAGGTTCTATAGATTGCATTTCTGGCTTGAAATTAGACTCTTCTCTCCTTTCCCTTATGGAGTAACCTATAGAGTCCGACAGCCTAAGTCCTGGTTCTGAAGGTAAACTTCCCTTGTAGGGGAAGTACATTAAGATCAGAGACTCATACTCCAACCTAGGACTATTCGTGGAGATAACCTAGAACCACTTCACAGATGTAGCCCATGGCAGTTCAGTGTCCAAGTGAGTTACCTAGTAATGGGAAGAGGGACTGCCTCTGACATAATCTGATTGGCCTGCTCTTTGATCACCTCCCCCTGAGGGGGGTGCAGCCTTACCAGGCCACAGAAGAGGACAATGCAGCCACTTTTGACAGAACTGATAGACTAAGATCAGAAAGGAGAAGAGAACCTCCCCTATCAGTGGACTTGGAGAGGGGCACGCATGCAGAAAAGGGAGGGAGGGTGGGATCAGGAGGGGAGGAGGGAGGGGCTTATGGGGGGATACAAAGTGAATAAAGTGTAATTAATAAAAAATAAAAAAAAGTTAAAAAAAAAGGTTGCACACAACCCTTTCCCCACATGGGCATGACTTACAAAAGAGAGCTTCAGGGGTATCTCCTGATAGGTAAAGTTTTGCAGACCACAGAGGACTGGCTTGCCTTACAGGAAGCTAGATGCACTGTTATGTGAGAGGGGAGAAACTGTTCTCTTGCCAGTCTTGCAGCTGACACATCTCAGTTCCATACAAGGGGGCCGTGTCACACCGGTCATGAATAGGACCAGACCATGAGGAAAAAACATGCAGTGCTTCATAGATCTCCTTGGCTGTTCCACTCTGTGCATGACCACGGTGGCAGGCAGGAGGTACTTGGGAAGGAAGAGTAAAGGCTGTAAATGTCTCCTTTACAGAAGGTCACAATTTTACCTTGACTCCTGCTGGGTTTTGAAAATACTCTGCAGGTTTTCATATAGGGATCTGAAAGAGGCATTTATATCCTTCTCAAACTGCTTCCTCTCTACCATGAGGATCTGGGTAATGTCACCTATAAGAGAAAGGAAATGGTATACCTTAAATCCAAGATCCAGAGGAAGAAGTGCTTTTTCATCCAGGACACATTATCTTACATGACACAACTCGAGATCTGCTATCCATTTTGCTCTTTGTTGTTGTATATACATTTTTAATTTGGACAGGGTCTTGTGTAGCCCAGGCTGGTCACAAACTTAACAGGTAAGTGAGGCCAACCTAAAGTCCCTAATTCTCCCGCCTCCACTTCCTAAGTGCTAGGAATACAGGGGTGGGGCATCCTGCTTGACTGATGACCACCACCAACAAAGAATTTTCCGAATACTTCAAAACCCAAGTGGTTCCTCTGCATCAGAAGGAGCAATGCTGTCAGACATCATTGCTTGTACAGAATGACTGTGCACACAGGCAAAGAACCGATGATGCCTCACTACTAATGCTGTCTTAGGCACACCTAAACATGTGACTCAGAACTGAATGAAAACTGCCACAGTTTGAGGCATGAGGCATGCTGACCTGGTTACAAGCTAGTGTGGCACGCATGCATTATGTTTGCATGCTATCACACTTTTCTTCCTGGACCACAGTGTGCTGCTTTCAACATTCCTTATAGGCTGAAAAATGTGCACAGAATAAAGGTTGTTTTCCCTGCCCTCTTTTGGCAGGGGTTCCTGGGGAAGAGCAACTCTGGAAATCCAGAAAAATGACTTAATTCAGAACTTGAAAAACAGCTGTTGAAATGCGAAGACTTGTGCAGTAAGTTAAAAAGCAGAGATTTATCTGCTGGTCCATCATCCCTAGTAGCAATTACTCCAGCAATGCAGGAAGCAGGAAGCTCTCTCCCCTCCACCCAAGTAACAGCTACAAGTTCTCCCTGCTCACAGCAGCTACTTCAAAGTTATGTGAAAGGTAGCCCCTGGAGGCCAAAAGACACTTTTACCCTTCCAAAACATCTTGTGGGTGACAGAACTGTTGCAGAGTCCTGTTGGCCTCAGTGACCACATTTTCACCATGCGCAGGTTGTAGAGTTGGAATGAAAGCCCTGGGTCTACCATGATCTGCTCATACATACCTCTGAAGTCTTGCATGCTCTTCTCAACAGGCTCCCTGTTAAAAAAAAAAATTGCACACAGAACTCTTAACTGAGGACAAACACCCTAAGTTTGCTTTGAAGGAAAGGGGAGGCATGCTGCTGTGCAGAGACTAGAACTCACATGGGGCAAATTTGGATTTCCCCCTCTTTGGGTCACTGCTTTTATTCCTGTGTTCACACTGTCAGAGTGAGCCAATGAGTTCAGGTCAGATGTGTAAGGGCACATGGCTAAGGGCTACTTACTGGAGCATGGGTGACTGAAAGTCAGCTGTACCCCCAGGAGCCCCAGCCCATCCTGGGTATTGGGCAACTCATGAAAACCGCATTCCAGGTATATTCCCTGCCCATTGCAGGCAGCTCCATGGAAGTAGGTCCTCTCCTCAAGCAGTAGCTTTGTGTCGTGTTGTGGCAGGTGGGGGTTTTATACTGAATGTTTACTGGAATCCATTCACTGTATGCAAGCATCGTGTTTCATAAAGCTGTACTCATCCATGTGTCCCGCCCTCCAGCCATACTCACTCTCATCCTTCCTCAATACCCTCCCGACATCTGTCCTATGTCACCCAGGCAGTGTCTCTTCAAATTTCATACCATGGGACTATGTTCAACCTCCAGAGTCTGCCTCTAACCAATGCACCCCCAGACCTTCCCCTCAAATGGGTATTGCCTGCCTCTCCCAGTCTCCCCTTATTTCCAGTCCTATCATTTTATGGCCCTCTATATAACCTAGGATTCTCAAGTGAGAGAAGGCGGGAGACAGGAGTCTCTTTGATGCTGGCTTACTTTGCTTAACAGCACACTCTCCTCTTGGATCCATTTCCCAGGGAAAGGGCAAATTTTTCTTTGTATACCTGCATATGACTTCACTGAAACTACCTCACTCAACAGGCCAACATTCCTCTAAGACATCACCTGGCCTCTTGCACATTTGATCCCAAGGAACAGCTGCCCAGCTCGCTGGTGTAAACTGCTGGATTTTCTGCTGCATTGAGAAGAAAGGAAAAACCTTTGCAAATGAAATGTGCTGCTCTCTTCACCCCTCATGAGAAACAGCTTCACTCTAGAGTTGGGTAAGCCCATGCCCAGTAAAGGTTTTAGAGCAGTCTTCCAGGAACTCATGCCCCTACCGCTAGCCCCTAGACACAGGTGAGACTCAGCTCGATCCAAGCCTATTGACATCGGGGTACATGAATTTGTACAAGCCTCAAAAAGGAAATTCCCTGTGACCCATGGGCTTCTTGAGAGACACACGTTGGCCAGAACCAACAGCTCTGTGAGCCTCCCATCTGTGCCATGGGTTAAGAATGTCTAGTGGGGACTGAAACACAGAACATGTGTATTAGAGGCAGTGTCAGACTACAGCCCTGTTCCTTCCCTCACCCCGACCCCGATGGCCCAGAACTCCACATGCCAAGAGGTAGTAGACTGTCACCTCCATTGGGACCAGCCCTATATGCCCCATATCAGTTGTTACCAGAGGCGACTGCATCTGTCCTTCGGCGCTTGGCACTTCTCTCTATGGCCTTCCTATCCTTGGATGACATGGCTGGGGCCTTCCCGGGCCAGGCAGGACTCCTGAAATGTTGACATGCACAGATTATAAAGACACTGAGAAGAACTTCATGACTGCAATGGAAACAGGGACTAGGACTCCACCACCTGTGGCCATGTGCCCTGGCATTTGTGCTGGCTCAAAGAGGAGGCAGGAAGGTAATATTAATAGCCCGCCAGGTCCAATCACATTCTGTCCCATCCCTCTGGCTGAATGCAGAGCTCTCCACAACCCAGTAGCCCTCAATCTCAGCCCTTCCTCCTGATTCGTTGTCCCCAGGATGGGACAAGCTTGGCCTAGCCCCAAACCAAGTGACCCAACATTGGTGTCTAGTCACAAACACCAACACACTGATGGCCAATGAGATCACTGGAGCCATGTCTGGGTATTTAATGTTTAAGCCCTGCTGCACAATCAGGTGATATCCTTACCCACTTTCAGTCCGGATGCCTCACAAGCAACTCAGAGACCCACCGGTGCAGGAGAGACCCAAAGAATACACCGGAGCCAAATACAGAGATTCCCTAATGCACTCACCCCAAATGATAAGCAGCCTGTAGAGGGCTGTTACAATAGGGTGAAAAAAGGTGTGTGCATGTGTGAGACTGGGCAATCCTTGTTTCTTGCTGTGGCCCAGCTGGAAATTGTGCATGTGTGACTTGGGGCTTGGGGTCGCACATGCATCAACAGGAAACCCCTGTGTTAAAGCCTTGCAAGGGACCTGATAAACCCACACCCCCCTTTCAGATAGGCTCACCTGTGGATGTGTGGTCTGAAAGAACATGTGTAGTACCCTGAGACCTCAGAAAGGGCCATGTGGAAGGTCCTGACTACATCCCCAGGCAACATGCGCTGCCTGGTCCACTCCTCTCACACCCTGCATCCCTCACAAAATGTTCCTAGACTGTCCTTCTGGGGCGTAGGTCACTCCAGGTGGACTTCAGGTTCTAAACATCACCTCAGGAAACCACCCTGTGTCGTAATACCTGTTCACTCACCTAGAGGAACACACCTCCCCCTTGTTGCCCAGAATCCTGCTTCCCAATGAGAAAGTGGTCACGGCTTAATTGTGCCTCCCTTTGGAAAAGATTCTGCCTCTGTGGAAAAGCAAGGACACATGATACGAGCGCCTATCTCTCCTTTTCCTTGGTAGGGCCACCTGCAATCAAGCATGTGTGAATGGGAAATTGTGCTCTTCAGGCCTGGAAGGACCTGAAACACCTACATACCCGTATTAAGTAGGTCCAATTGTGGAAGTGCAGACCTGGATGAATGTGTCCTGTGCCCAAGGACTTCAGCAAGGACCTTGTGGCAGATCCCTAGTCCTGCAAGCATACATGCTGTCCTGCCCGCTCTGCTCACTCCCTGCATTGTATCAAAGCTTTCCCACACTGCCCTTGCTGGCCTCCTCCACTCCACTGTGGAATTCAGGCTTCACACCTCCATCTCAGGGACTATCCTGGGTCTCAATACCTAGTCATTCACCTACATGAACATACATAGCTCAACACAATCCCTGAGACCTTTTTTCTCCTCCAGGGTGGTGTCAGGTTTTCCTTACTTCAGGAAAGTATTCTACATGTCTGCTGTGTGTGAGCCTGGACAACAATAGTGTTCCATCTTTCTCACACACACACACCCCACCAGGCCCCAAACCCTCTAAAGCCTGTATGCTTGTCTTGGAGCTTTCAGTTGTGCATGTGTAAACTGGGAACTCTGCTAGGATAGGCCGAAAGTGCCCCAGACCACTCTGCTTCCTGTTTTCAATACCCCCACATGTGGAAGTATGGATTTATGCAGAATCTTGGAAGTACTCAAAGGGTACTGAGAGATCCTTGTGAAAGGTCCCTAAGCTCTGCAGGAGTACACATGCTCTCCTGCCCACTCCTTTATAGTCCCTAGAAACTTCACATATCTTTCCCAGGCAGCCCTTCTCAGGTTTGTCCACTCCAGGGTGGAAGGGAGGCCCATGATGTCACCTCGTGGGCACTAATACCTAGTCACTCATCTATAATGAAATGCTTCAGGACGATCACCAAGACCCTCCTTTTGCAGGACTACTCCTCACATGCAGAAGCTAAAGATGCTGGCCTCTGAAGAATAGCAAGTGCCCATGCAAGAGATTAGCTGAAGGTGCTCCTATGTGACCCCCACCCAGAAATCACAGGAGTATAACTTGGGGCTTGAAGATGTGAGTGCTTGACTGGTGTCTGTGGTTGTGCAAGTACACTGGGCCCCACTAAGGCCCTTCTGTCTAAGCATCACTCATGGCTGCTTCTCTGGGAGACCCAGGTGTCCAGTGACCACTGCAAAAGTACACAAGCGTCAGAGACAGGAGTCTCCTAGTCTCCTATGCATGGTATAGTCTTGTACCAGCCTTTTTAGAACTGCAGTGCTCAGGGCCCCCTTTCTGATTGCTTTCAGGTGCTTGTCCAATCTGAAGGGTAAGTGAGACTCCTGTCTATCACAGTATCATTCAGCTTGGGCTCTGACACTTCCTGGTCCTACTGTCCTCTGCCAAGGGCTGTGGATCTATGTGCACCATGCTTCACCACCAGTCATCCGTGCACGCATGGAGCATGGGTGCTCACAACATGTGGTCCATGATATCTGGCCTTAGGAAATGCAAGAAACATACAATGACAGCAGTTAAATCCAGCCCCCACTCTACTACTTAAGGAAATTAAGAATTACTGTTCATAATTCCATGCCCTCTGCCCAAAGTTTGGCTATGAGTCTCAGCCTCTGCTTTGATACCTCAATCGGAGATAGAAAAACCTGGAGGAGACAGCGCAGGGGCTGTCTCTGGCATGAACTAAGTGGCAGGCTCTCTGATCACCTTCCCTTGGAGGATGCAGTCTTGTCAAGCCACAGAGAAAGGCAATGCAGCCAGTCCTGTTAAAACCTAATAGGCTAGGGTCAGATAGAAGGGGAGGAGGACTTCCCCTATCAGTGGACTAGGGGAAGGGCATAGGAGAAGAAGAGGGAGGGAGGGTGGGAGAGAGGGAGGGATTGGGAGGAGATGAAGGAGGAGGCCACAGCTGGAATACAAAGTTAATAAATTGTAATAACTAATTATTTTTTAATTAAAAAAAAACTACTGTTCATCACAGGAAGAATCCCAAGGCCCTGTTATTTCAGGAATTTTCAATGCCCTATCTACTGTGGGGAGGAAATGCTACATCAGCCCATCATACAGTCACTCCACCCCTAGGTCTATGGGCCACTCCCCTGAATAGAGGCATTTGAGCAAATATTGGTATGAAAAAGCTCACAGCAGTCCCAGGCATAGTGGAAAGATCCTGAATTAGCCCCTCATGATGAAATTTCCTGGTTACAGTTGCATTTGCGAAGAATATTCACAGACTGAAGAGGTGAGATCACTAGAGACATGCAAAGCACACAGGTAGGTGCCTGCAGCCAACGTGAATGAGTGTGTCAGCTGACCTTGTGAGTGTGCCCTGGGAGCCTGTGTGCTCATTCATGGGACAGGAGAGGTTCTCACTACCACTGTTTGAAGTGAAGCCCCAAGGACCCAGCCCTGTCTCTTTGTCCTTAGGTGACAAGGCTTTGTTGCCAGCTTTATTGTTTCAGGCCCTGAAAGCATAGTTCGCCAACACATGTAAATGGATGCCTCCTCTCTGTTTGGCTAGGATTGTCACTTGTGCTCTTGACAGGATGACTGTGTTTGTGTGACAGCTCCTTACCCCTAGATATTTGTGGCTTTTGTTGTCTTAGAGAGAACTTGGAAGGCATTTAAGGATGAGGTAAATGGGGGTGCATGGGGCTGGGGTTGGGGCTTAGGAGTGGGAGGCGGGTGCTGACCAGCAGTTCCCTTGGAGGATTGTTAATGCCAAGTGGTGATACTCTCTGGGCCTAGATACCTGACGCAGGAAGTAAGAAAGGTCTCTGAAAGACAGCTGCCTCTGTACTGGCCACTAATCACACTTAGGCAGATTGAGGTTAAAAAAAAAAATCGGGGCAATATGAACACCAGAGGAATGGGCAGACTTTGTCCCCTCAACAGGCACTAGATTGTGTCTGTGTCTGAGACTTTACAGTGCTCAGGGATGGGTTAGGCACCAGCTGGGCATTACAGGGTGTGCAGCTGCATTTTCCCTGTAACTCATCTGCCCATCTGGATCCCTCTGTGTGTCTCTGCTCCTGGGTGTGAGCAATATACACTGTACTCTTCTTGCATCTTCTCATTAGACTGCCCCCCACACATGTGTCTGTCTTTTCACAGGCAGAGAAGCCATTGTTCCCATCTGGAGAAAACTTGACTAGACTTCACACACAGAGACTGTGTGCTAGGTCTTGATAAAAGGCCTTTAGACCAAAGGCTAAAGCACGTGCTGAGACAGCGATTTCAGGATTCCACCTACCACCCTTCTCCTTGGGCCTCTGGAGAAGATACTGCTGTTTTCAGTGTAAAGGTACCTATCACATAAATTTCATCAAATGGTTGGTTGAAAGTAGTGGCCTGGAGGCAGAGGATGCCTGAAATGGTGGAGGCAGGTGACAATACAGATAACATTTATTCAGGCTGTAGGAAGGTCAAGGCCTTTTATATGCCCTGGAACAACAGGCATACACAGATGGAATACACACTGGAGGTTGGGGGTAGAGTGTGGCCTGATATGAGTACACACATATCTCTTTATGACTGGGTTACAGATGCTGCATGGATACCTTGGCTTGTGGGATTGAACACACACTTGGTCTTCCCAGGTATGTTTTCTAACTGAAGTATGTAGGTCTGAGAATGTCTTGCCTGAGGGAAGCTGAAGTGTGTGCTGGCCTGCAAGGGGTAGAAGGTGTGCAATCTATAAGTGTAGTTCGCACATCTGTGGCTTTTAAGGGTGCCCTCTGAGGCACGGTGCCTGGATGATGGGGTCATGTTTGGGCCTGATGGTGTTCATTCAGCCTTGTTAGAGGACATGTTCAAGGAAAGTCCTACAGAAGGCAGCTTAAAGTAATTGTCAGGCTTATGTTTTCCTCTGTGACACTTCTGTGACAAGGCTCAGGATTGCAAGGGGGCCAGATCAAAGGAAGCCAGCCAGCCCTGCAAAATGAGACAGCCTCATTGGAGGAAAGGTTCTGCTAGTGATCCCTAAATTGAGCTCCATACCTCCATCATACATATTTAGTATTGCATCATCCAGTAGGTATGGCCTGAGACACACCTGGTCTCCTTTACTTATTGTGAGATCAGATTTGTAGTCAGTAAGGGTTAGATGGGAACGCAACAACAAAGACACTACACATTTGCATAGTAAGTAGGAGGGCTAGAGCATACTACCAGCTGTTTATGGATACAGAGAATGGGAAAGGAAGAACTGAGGGACTGAGGAGAATGTCACTTGCACCCCATAGTTCTGTAAGGTTAGGAATTCCTAGGATAAGGTCTGAGGTCCCCATGCTTGGTGTGCCCACACTCACAGAGGGGACGTGGGGCAACGGGGATTCCCAAGAAGAGCTGTGTCACAGGAGCCCTGAGTCCACAGTGCTCTGCCTCACTGTGCCTAGTGGTGCCTGGGTAATAGCAGGAATCAAAATTGCATCCTGGTGTAAAGAGTGAGCATAGGTGGCATATGTGCCCTTTGTGGTTCTTCTTTGTGTTGTAGTCCTTCTCGTCAAGCACAGAGAGCCTCTTTTGAGGATCAGACAAATGTGGTTTCCCTCAGACATGTGTGACATGCACACTGCTGATAGGAAACTTGCTGGATCAAAGCAGAAGCAGTCAGGAACAGAGTAGCCACCATCCTAAACACACACGAGAGAGAGAGAGAGATATTGGAAAAGAAAGGTATGAGATTCCACTGAGAAGCCCAAGGAGAAGGGACTATGTTGAGTGGCACAGTATGGAGGAATATAAATGGGAGAGCTATGCTACCGATGATATTGGATACTACTAGACATAGGGATGGGTAAGCGACCACCCATGTCATCAAGTAGCTGCTTTAATTTCCCAACTGTCTAAGACTTTATGGATTAAAATTAGGGCACAGAGGTTGTAGGCAGGAGAATTAAGTGGTCTGGGATCTGTTAGAGGAACAGTGCCCATCACAGGAAGATATGGGTGTACTACAGTCTTGACATTGCAGCAGGAGGGTAAACAGTTTCAACAGAGACACTTGTCATTCTGACAACTTATCACCCTGTTGCTCACCATCTGACATCCTTGGGTCTGCTAATTAGTAAACATTTCTCCATAGTGAAGAATTGCCTTCTCTTTGGTGCTCTCCCCAAGTGTGCCCTGTTGACACTTGATTCCATGGTGAAGTCCACGATGGAGATGGCAAGAAACAGATCTGAGCCAAAAGATTGGTGGTGGGCTGATGGAGTAGCCAGAAACTATGATAGCATTCTTGCTTGCCATGTTATGCCAATCACTGTGAAGAGTTCCCCACGTCCTCACTGCTCAACCTGGAATCATACAAGTATGGAAGGCTCGTGTACTAAGTTGTCCACAGGCTTCCAGGGATTGGCAGAGTAGGACTAGCTCCCTAGAAAAGAAAACAATGAGGCTTCCCAGGGATTCCCAAGGTACTGACTGGGTGGGTAAGAAAATGCACAGCCCTTGTAAAGATAACCACCTCTCTGGGAGGAAGTTCCACACCCCAGCCTCTGGGTGGAGAACAATATTGTTACAACTGTGTCTTGTATCTGCTCTGGAACCTTTGCATATCTTTTCCCACATCTGTAGAACAGACTTTGTGAGCTCCTTTCATTTCTCTTGCCTCACCTCACCAATTTAAAGCTTCTGTTCCCGATAAAGCCTATTTAATTCCTAATGCAGCTCTGCTTCCTTCTCCCACCCTCCAGGATACTCCCACATAACCCTGAGGGAAATCAGTTGGAGCTTCTCTACCAGATTCTGGAAGGGAGCCAGCACCACAGGCGGGAGAGCCTGGTCAGAGACAACTGGCAGACAGTCACAGTGCCCACCACAACCAAGGCCATCAGGTCACCCTGTCGTGATCAGCACAGCCCCAGAGTCCTCTCACCATGGACTCCGCAGAGTATGTGCTCTGTGGTTGGAAGGGTCAGCTGTGGCCTGCAAGAGTGTTGTCCAGACCTAAGACCTCTGCCCATAGTAAAAGGAGAGGGGCCCCTTTCCTGGAGGTGCAAATCCTGCCTGTGGGTGAGAAGATAAGAGTGAGGAGCACCAAGGTAAGGCCCCTAACCAAGTCTGAAATTATGACCATCGCCTCCACGGCAGGGAAGGAGTCACAGGGCAGTAGCTTTCCAGGGCAGACCAGGGCATACAGGAGAGCCCTCAAGGTGGCACTGGATATCCTGGGGGAGGAAGCCTCTTTGTTTCAAGGAGGAAGGGCAGATGACCAAAGAACCAGCACAATGGCTCTTCTAAAGGTTCCGAAAAAGCAGGTTAGCTCCAGCCCACGCCAGTGCCTGCGCCTCCAAGGGCACAACCAGAAAGACCAAGGGCTCTCCCAGAGGGGTCCTGTGAAGCAAGACTGCCACCCAGGTCCTGTGTTGCCGGTGGGCTCACAGAAAGTGCCCTTAGTGTAAGGGGGAAAAGCCCAGGCACACACTGCTTTTGGGCCCCCACACTTTGAGATGCAAGGGAATGTGCTAAGAGGCATCAAAGAGGGGTCAAGATACTCAGCAACTGCAGGAAATGCTGGTCATAATTTAGGGATGAGAAAACTGAGCACATCTAAGCTCAGGCCTTTGAGTGTCCCAACCTCCCGGGAGGGTGCCCAGGCTAAGAATGAGCAGCAGGCTGCCTCTAGGCCACCAAGGCGCCTCTCAACCTTGCCCAAAGCCCTCAAGCAACAAACAGGGTGTGCTGGCCTAGAGATCTGGGCTACTGGAGTCCAAGGGAAGACCACCCTCCCAAAGAACAAGGAAGACCCCTGCTTGGGAACCCTGAGGCCAGCTGCAAACAGGGCAACAACAGTTTGCATGCCTCCAATCCCAAGGCTGCGAAGATCCCTCCGCTTTGCTAGCAGGAAAAGGAAGATCCACGTGACATGTCCACAGTGCAGGTTCCCAGGAGTGCAACCTCAGGTGCACTCAAAGGTGACTAACACCAGGTTCAAGAGGTGGGGGACTGGGATTCAGGAAGGAGGCCAAGCCACCTAGGTGGTTTCTGCCCAGCTGCCAAATACTATTGAACAAGGAATGCTGGTCTGGTTCAAATTTCAGGACCTTCCTTTCTGGCCAGCAGTGGTCAAGAGTGTCAGCCAAAAAGACAAGATGGCGAGTGTGCTGTTGATTGAAGGCAACATGCAGTTTGAGCACAGGGGTGTCCGTGTCCCTCTCCACAAGTTGAAGCATCTGGACTGTGGGGAGAAAATATCACTCATGAAGAGAGCCAGCAGAATGTACAGACAGGGCATCAGCTGGTGCTTCTCCATGATCAACCACTACAGAGAGGGACTGGCCTGTGGCTCCTTCCTGGGCTCCTTCATGGACTACTACACTGCCCAAGCCAGTTATCCATTAAGGAGAGCCATCCAGAAGGGGGACCTACACATTGATTTCCCCAAGGTGAGCTATGCTGATCTGGAAGACTGGGAGGAGGAGACAGCCCTGGGTGGGAAGAGGCCCCACAAGAAACTCCTACCTGACCGAATGAGGGCTGCTTGGGACAGAGCCAACCAGAAGCTCGTGGACTTCATAGTGAAGAGAAAGGGGGCCGACCAACACCTGTGGGACATTGTGAAGGGCAGAAAACAGTCCAGGTGGCTGGACAACCTTTGGAAGTCAAAGAAGGAAGTCTTCTGCATTGAGACCTACCTGGAGGATGAGGACCAGTTGCATCTTGTGGCCAGGCATTTGCAAGAAATATCCAAGGAAGCAGATGAGGCCCTGCTCTCGCTAACAAGAGGAGACAAAGTGCAGTTTACCATGGAGGTGCTTTTCCCAGAAGCAATCATCTGTTCCATCGCTGCCCTGGATGAGCTCAGCTACAAGGAGGCAGAAGAGAAGTACCTACGTGGCCCACCCGTGCACTACAGTGAGAAAGAGCTCTTTGACAAGACCATCTTAAAGTCTGCCTGTTAGAGGTCAGCAGCCAGGATTCAGGCTTCCAGGGACCCTCCTGCGCCCACTCCTTAGAAGGGAGCTCCTCCTTTCAGCCATCACCCCTGCAACTCCAAGACAGAAAACAGAGGAAGCACCTCCAAAGAGGAACATCTAGGAGACTGTGGGGTGTGCTATGGGCTCTGTATGGACAGCTCCTCACTGAGGGTTTCTTTCCCCACATTGAAATAAATGTTTACTTTCCTGTTCGGCAGTGCAGTGCAGTGCAGTGCAGTGCAGTGCAGTGCAGTGCAGTGTAGATGGGGTCTACAGAGAGACAGATCCTGTTAGCTTCAGGCCAGGCTTAGCCCTCTTTGGCCTGTGCCCCGGTGCACACAAGTCCCATGGAACCTCACTAACCTTGTGTGGAATATTAGCTAGCTAGGCATTGCCTCTCACTCTCTGCAGGGACCCCACACATCTAGACAGTAGGCCAGGTTCCTGATGACACCCTGCCTCCCCCATACTTCCTGTCCTCTCCTCTTTAGGGTGCTATGGATGGGGCCAGCTTGGCTTCCACTGTTTTCTCCATTACCTCCTTCTTCACCCACTCACATTGAAGGAGAGGAACAGATCTGTTTTGAGGCTGTTCTTTGAATCCAGAGATAGGAAATGAATGTGACCCTGGAGATAGTCTGATTTCAAAGAACAGTATATTGTATTTTACAACTTCTCTCTCTCTTTCTCTCTCTCCCTTCCTCTTCCTCTTTCCCCCTTCCTCCCTCTCCTCCTTTTCCTTCTCTCCTTCCCTCTCTCCCTTCCTCCCCTACTTTCTTTGTCTCTGAATGTGTGCAGAAGTGTGTGGATATCATAGGTGAAAATCTGGTGTCTTCTTTAGTTATTCTTCTCTCTACTCTTTGAGACAGGATCTCTGACTGAACATGTTGCTCACTGATTGTGCTAGAAGGGGTAGCCAGGCTCTATCGATCCTCCTGTCTCTGTCACCCCAGTGCGCAGATTAAATATGCCTGTCCATATACCTTTCTTTTAAGAGTACTATGTCATGAACTCAGGTTTTCACCCCATGAAGGAAGCACTTTACATTCTCAGCCATCGTCCACTCCCCCAGAGACTACATACTCTTAATGAGAAAACTCTGCCATTCCCATAGGCTGGTATGCTGATTGTCTACAGCAGCAGACACTACTATCTCAGCTTTTCTCACATTTCTGAGATCACAGACTTCTGGTGTTAGCCCAAAAGGGAGGGGGGCCTTTCATTCCTGGGGTCACTGACACCTAGGTTGTACTTATGAAAAGCAGGCTTGCCATACCTCCCAGATGGTCCTGTTTCTCTGTCTTGGATCACAGTCTTTGATGTGTTTTGTAGATAGGCCACTGAATCAGTGCCTCTGTGGACACTGAAATACAACCTTATAATCAGCTGAGTCCACTGTCCACTTCCACTTGTTCTCTGCCAAATCCCTGTAAATATCAATGTCTCTGGATTCATGACACCTGTTCAACTTCCTGTTTTGCTGGAGAATGGTGAACATTAGGCCTTGATGCTAATTACTGCCTTTCCTTTCTGTACTCAGTGGGCTCTTACCTGTGCAAAAGACCAAGCATGGTGCAGGTGCTTGTATTCTCAGTAGTGGGACTTTAGAGACAAGAACACTGGGGCTTGCTGACCAGCCAGTATAGCTGTGCTGCATTGGCAAGCATCTGGTTCTGTGAGAGACCATGTCCAAAAAAAAAAAAAAAAAAAACCCAAAAAAAAAAAAAAACAAAAAAAAAAAAAAAAAAAAAAAAAAAAAAAAAACAAAAAACACAACTAATGTAAAGGCTTTTCCAAGAGAAGTCCAAGTCTAAGCTCTTTGTGTTCTACATACTCAAGCAGTGCAGTTCTCAGAGGCTGCATGTCAGACATAGTCTCACCTGCATAGTCAGCCTCTACTAGGACTTTAACTGCCACTGCCCCTTGTGCATTATGTTCCGACAACAAAACCCTCTGTCCTCACCTTCTACCGTTCATGGGCATTTGTGCCCCGCAGCACCATTTCCCGTCCCTGCTTCATTCTCTTCCAGAGCTAGACTCCCAAGGTAGGGGACTCGTCATTCCTTGGAGTCACTGACACCTGGTGTGTACTGATGAGACACAACCCTGCTGTACCTCCCAGAAGCTCCTGTTCTCTTCCTCTTTTGATCTGTGTACATGAGTTTTCTTGAGGCTGTGTTGTTGTCTCTGTGGCCTCTGAAGTGCTGGTCTGATCATTTCACAGGTCAATTCTTCCACTGTTTGATCCCTATTCCCTGTGTAATTCCATATATCTTTGGCCTCCTCTCTATTTATTGTATGAGTGTATACTGCACATTAGTGCTTTCTGCTAATTGCTGGGTGTCCTTTTTTTCCTATACACTGGGGTCTTACACAGCATACTTTGTTTCTTTATGTATGGAAGTCATAAGTTAGTTGTAGATTCAGGAGACCTGAAGAGCTGAAAAATATATGTGGTGCCTTTTGGTGCCTGTCTGTGTGTGCATCTCTCTCTCTCTCTCTCTCTCTCTCTCTCTTTCTCCTATGTGTGTGTGTGTGTGTGTGTGTTATTGTCTCTTACAACCCTCAACCCAGAATAAAGAATTACTCTCTATCCTAAAGCAGTGTGATCCTACAAGTTTGGAAACTTGTTTACTTTCTGAGACAAGAGTCTTTTTTGAAGAAATATGCCAGGAAAATCACACCCCAACCAAGAGAGAAGTCAAGCTATTCATTCTATGAGCATGGCAGGTCAAAGAGGAAAATTCAGTAGGTAGAAATTCTTACACAGGATATTAACTGCAGTAACTGCCTGCATGGGAACAGGTAGTTTTGGCCCTGGAGGCTGAGTAAGGGAGGGATTTAATGCCTTAGGACAATTGAGAAAGTTGAATTGTAACTTTGGTAGGGATTTGAAATTCTTTTTTCTTTTTTTTTTTTTCTAAAACACTCGGTTTCAGGCTGTGAATAATCATAATAAGAAGCATAGGGTAAGGAGAAAAGAATCACAGATGACAAATGGCAGACCAAGTGTGAAATCAAGACAAATTGACCTTCTTTGGGCGTACACAATGAGAATGCCTTCAGCTTTCTCATTGTAGAAACTTTCCTCTGAAAACAGCCAAAGACATGAGTCTATAATGGGGCTGGGCATGAGGAAGGGGCAAAAGAGTTTCACAGAAGATGAACCAGGAGTGGGAAGATGAAACTGTAGGAGGAAATGCCAAGCACATATTGATGTATGAGGTAGTAATCCTCTTGTTGGGATGTTCAGTTGTAATGGCTGAAATATTGCTTGGGCTATAGGACACAGATGATCTCTCTCACACTGCTACTGGGACAGAGGGTTTCCCCACTCACAGCTGATAATGGATTAATGGATGCCTCCTTATGTCAGTGACAGATACAGCCCAAGTTTCACCAAGGTCACTTTTGATGTACATCTCAGAGCCTTCTTCATGGCAAGAAGTTCAGGTAAGAAGTTCATGGCAAGAAGGCAGGTAGAATGCTGATGTAGTGCCTAGAACAGCCCAGCATGACATAATAACCTAAAGAGAGTCCCAAAAGATAAGCTATGGCAGTATTGGTGAGCTGGGTGCCAGGGAGAAAACCTTGACCAGTAAGCCTTGATGGCAAAGGGCAAGTGGCCAAAGAGTATAGTGTCTAAAGAAAGAATAAAGGGGTCAAGAATGTATACCTAGAGGTGTGATCTTTTGTGAACTTACTTGACCCCTCACTGGCAGAGATGTTGTGCATGCAGTCCTGGATTCTTGGTGATTGGAGAGAGTTGGGGTGATAAAACTGGCAGGACCCTGAAACTCTATTTTGAGTAAGGGTAGCACAACTCTGTAGGAATATCTAGCTTAGCCAACAGAAGATATGGGGGGGGGGTTTGCTGATGGAAGACCAACTAACTGATGATGAAACACAGAGAGAAACTTCTGGGATTTAGGCCACCTATTCTACTATGAGAGTAATGTCCCAGAGCCTGGAAAGCTGTTGACACAGGAGGCAGACAAAAGTAAGGTGTTCACCAATGCCAACACAATGCTTTCTGCATAAATTTAGGCAGAGTTCCCAGAAATCCTAAACTCTTTTATGACACAGGAAGAAGCCTCAGAGCCCCTGCTCCTTGGCCTTGATCAGGAGAAAGAGGTGGGGGGGGTACCACAGTTTTCTAGTGCCCTTCTGTGGGGACCCTGAGAACTCTGGGTCCCTATGCCAGAGGCACAGTTATATAAATGGGGGAGGGGTCAGCATCAGGTGACATCAGCATGGCTGGCCCAGTAACGTCACTAGAGAGCCCAAGTCACCCAAAGGCTAAGAAAGAGCCTTATTTTATCACCCTCCTGAACCTATGACCTGCCTGGCCCTCTCCTGGAGGATATAGATGGTCTGTGTTCCAGTGTCACTACACTTTCTCCTGAAGTCTGTGCTGCAAAAAGCAGTGTTAAGCCTGAACTGATCTATATGAGTGCTCTACTGTAAGGTTAGAGAGATCTCAAAAAACCTGGAGAGAAAATCTGGAGAGCAGACATGAAATCCTTGCTGTAGGACTGAAGGTGGAAAAAAATCCTGCTCATAGGAGGTACCAAATCCCAGGAGGGTAGGTACTACTGGCCCTGACAACCCCAACCCGCAGGCCTGCCTGGGTAGAACTACAGGCAGCTCCAGGGCTGGAGAGGGTCTGTGAGTGAGGCATGGGCATGGGATGCAAAAGCTTCCTCTAATTCAGAGGTTCTCAACCTTCCTATCAGCATGAACCAGTAACACACTTCCTCCTGTTTAACTTCAGCCATAAAATTATTTTAGTTGTTACTTCATATCTGGAATTTCGCTACTATTATGGGTCATAATGTAAATATCTGTGTTTTCCGATGGTTTTAGGTGACCCCTGGGGAGAAGCCATTTGATTCCCAAAGAGGTTGCAACCCACAGGTTTAGAAGCTCTGCTCTAGGGATATACTTTGCAGGAAGAGCAGAGGTGGGGGCAAGGGTCAACTGGATATTAACCTTTCCTCTTCCTGTTTTTGTTCACAGGCTGTGGAGACCTAGGCTGG